CTCATTAAGACCCAGCTCCCACAAGCCGACGGCTGCTGCCATGAAACATTCAGTAGATGGAGTCCTCTCTTTGCCTTACAGTCCCTCCACAAATTGTTCCTTTTTGGAAACAACGCCTCCTCGCTGGCGGCACTGACAGCAATTATCCCGATCTTTCCGTACAGAACGAGCTGGTTCATACCGATGTCATCAAGCTGCTGGTCGAAGGATCGACAATGGAAGGGCCGGAGGGGCTGCAGATACAGACCATCGGTACGGGACGAACTCCTCCGCACAGTTTCGGTTACTGACGCCGAGGCTGCCGTCCTGGGAGAAGAATCTGGGGGCTCAGTTGGGTTTCCTTTCAAAGAAGCAGGCATGGGGGTTTTTTTTGCTGGGGTTGTCCCCCCCAGTGGGGCCTGCAGTTCTCCCCGAATTACAACTGATCTCCATAAGATCATAGAATTGGAAGGTACCTCCAGGGTCATCTAGTCCAACCCCCTGCACAACACAGGGAATTTACAAATTCCAGTTCAGCTCCCTTGGAAGAAACGGCACCTGTAATTCCTGGAGAACTTCAGGCCCCACCTGGAGGTTGAAAAGAAGCAGAACCACCGTGATGTATTATGCCAGAAAAAAGTTCTTCACAGACTTATAAGTTCTTTTCCAATAAGGAGGGAAAGGTGGAAAGAAGGAGAGAAGGAAAGAAGGAGGGCCCCCTGGGCTCTTTACTGCCGGAGCTCCGCTCCTGCGTGCTCCTGCAAGAAATGACCCCTGATTTTGATCCATTTGGCAAACACTATAGTCGTATCTCATGAGATATGACTATAGTGTTTGCTAAATGGATGCAAATGATACAGGAATTTCAACGCTACCCACTCTGATAAAGTTTGTACACGAAACGAGGCATGATACGCACGGTCCCTTGTGGTGTTGATGGCGTTTGAATTGCTCCTATTAGTATCTCATGAGATATGACTATAGTGTTTGCTAAATGGATGCAAATGATACAGGAATTTCAACGCTACCCACTCTGCTAAAGTTTGTATATGAAACGAGACGTGATATGCACGGTCCCTTGTGGTGTTGATGGCGTTTGAATTGCTCCTATTAAATTGGATATTGGAAAAGAAAGGAAAGTCTGTGAAGAACTTTTTTCTGGCATAATACATCACGGTGGTTCTGCTTCTTTTCAACGTCCATCCCGTGATCTCTCTCTTTGGTTTGCACCCACTCGGAGGTTGGCAGGCAACCCTAGCCTGTGGTTTCTCTTTGAGGCCTGTCCCATCGTACGCTATTCCTAATAGGGATGCCAGCCTCCTGGTGGGAGGGTAGGGAAGGGCGGGGCATAAATCCACTCTCCTCCTCCTCCTCCAACTGAACTCTGGGCCACCCAGCCTGTTTCAGTGCCCTGCCAGCCAACAGCAGGTCGGAGGGCTCCTTGCCCCACCTGTGGCCAGTTAATTAACTGGGATCAGCGGGTTGAACCTACTTAGAGCCGGAGGGGGTGGGTGGGACGGAGCCCCAGGACATTTGGCAGCCAAGAAGACAATCGACACCCGGCTATGCCTCATTTCCGCCTCTTCTCTAAAACAGGCTGCGGGACTTCATTTGACTTTCACAAGAAGATCGATTATTTATTCCTGGTGGGGACTGAGGAAGGCAAAATCTACAAGGTGAGACCTTTCCTGCCGCAGTCTGCCGCTCCACCCCGTGTCTGGCCGTGGGTTTTTCCCCTTCCCGCGCAGGAAGGCTTGCTTGGTCCATATGTGGATCTCACGGTTGTCCAGGTTTGTTTTGCTTTGTGAGAAGCAGCTTTTGCAAGCAAAAGGAAGGAGAGCATGTAAATATTTTAAATCGACAGAACATGAGCAGAAGGCATGGGATACGTCTGGGAAAGATCCCCCCCCCCAGGTCAACCAGACACGAGCGTCATTCTTTGGGGAAGAGCTAGATTCAAGTCCAAGGGCATTTTGGAGACCAACAACAAGACTTTCTGGGGAATGAGTTTTCAAGAGTCAGAGCTCTCTTTTGTCAGAAACAGGTAGGACTTTAGATCCCTGAGAGCCGGTATGGTGTCGCGGTGTGAATGGTGTCAGTCTAGTATCTCGGAGAGAGACCCGTGTTCAGATCTCCACTGGTCCCATGGAAGCTCACTGGGTGACCTTGGGCTAGTCACACTGTCTCAGCCTAACCTGGAAGAGCACTACGCTCTTCAGATAACAACTTGCGGGTGGTAGTCCCCAGCCCTAAAGCCAGGGGTCATTTCCTGCGGGAGCGCACAGGAGCGGAGCTCCGGCAGTAAGAAGACCAGGAGGCGGGCACATGCAACAAGCCCCGCCCCCTGCTCCCAGCAGCCCTCAGTTGGGCCACGAGGATCAAGAAGCAGCCAGGTAAGTTGCAGAGCCCCCCCCCCGGGCCCGCCTTCAGGTACAAGCTCTCCCTCCTCTGTGCGGGCAGATCTGCGCGTTCCCCTCCCCCCCATAGCTAGCAATCCAAAACAGTCCAGTGGCACCTTTAAGACCAAGTTTTATTCAGGTACAAGCTCTCCCTCCTGGGCAGGGAGATCTGCATCTTCCCCCCCCCCCAATAGCTAGCAATCCAAAACAGTCCAGTGGAGCCTGAGCGGTGGGTGTTGCCTTCTGACACACTTCCGGTGGTGTCAGGGGGTGTGGCATATGCAAATAGGTTATGCTAATGAGCTCCTGCATCTCTTTTTCTACGAAATGACCCTGGCCCTAAACCTATCTGGCTGTCCTGGACCAAGGCCCCGGGCCCAACCTGGTAGAACTCTCTGCCAGGTACCATAAGGGCCCTGCGGGATTTTATGCAATTCTGCAGGGCCTGTAAGGCGGAGATGTTCCACCAGGCCTTTGGTTGAGAACAGCAACGGTTTCCATCGTAGCTGGCGCCAGTGTTCCCTCTAAGCTGAGTCAGTGTGAGCCAGCTCACAGTATTTTTAGCCTCCGGCTCATACATTTTTGGCTCGGCTCAGGGAGGATGGGCTCCAGAG